GAAATATTCCTCTAATTCTTTCATACTTCTTGAATGCCATGAGAGAAAAAAGACAGATAGAGAAGATAGGTACAGAGGAGAGAGAGAGAGGAAGAGAGAAGAGGGAGAGGAGAGAAGGAGGGAGAGGAGAGATGGAGAGAAGAAAGAGAGAGAGAGGGAGAGGAGAGAGCACAGGAGAGAGAGAGAGAAGATTGGGAGGGGTGGGATAGGAGGGAAAGGGGAGAGGGAGAGGTGAGGGAAAGAGAAGGAGAATGGAGAGGGAGAGGAGAGAGAGGGAGAGAGGAGAGAGAGAGAGAGGAGAGGAGAGAGAGAGAGAGAGAGAGAGAGAGAGAGAGAGAGATGAGAAGAGAGAGGAGAGAGAGAGAGAGAGAGAGAGAGAGAGAGAGAGAGAGAGAGAGAGAGAGAGAGAGAGAGAGAGAGAGAGAGAGAGAGAGAGAGAGAGAGAGAGAGAGAGAGAGAGAGAGAGAGAGAGAGAGAGAGAATCATGAAAATACATCATTGTATCAATGTTTTTATTATACATTTTGAGAAAAACACCTTAGCAAAACAAATAAAATGAGACTGTTATTCATTGGCTAAGGCAATAACACTACCAACACAAAAGTTTTGATTGATATGTACTGCCCATGTATGTATCACAATAGTTCCCATCTTTGGTTACAGCAATGATGTAGCCTATGATGTGTACCCGCAGAACTAGAAAATAAAGGGGAAAAAAAGACACGAAAAAGAATATTGATAAAATTACTTTCCGTGACTTTCCTTCAGGTAAGTCAACCTGCCTTTTCCGGCTAAAGGAATAAGGGTATTCTAAAGGTCTTTGAAATGTCAAAAATACTAGAGGCAGTTTCTGTGAACTGTCAGGCATATCCTGAACTGGAAGATTAGAGACTGATCTGAATGTCATTGAAAAACAAAAGTACCAAACTATCTATTTAACTATTAACTGAAACTAATATTTCAGTGACACTGTTATGAAAAAACAAAACAAATAAAGTAATATAAAAAGTTTTTAATAGTGATACTCATTGGTAAGTAGGGAGATGTAAATAAGGTGTTAAGTAAACAAACAAATATACTTCTTGTAAATGTCTGACTACTTCAACAAATATACAATTACACAAAAGATAAGAGGCATTGCTGCTCTTTACTGATGTAGTACTGCTGAGAAATACAGGCAGCTTCATTCAAACTAGTATATTTAGGTTGCATCTTGAGGCACCTTAAAATGAAGTGTGAGATCTGATCCTTGCGTGATCCCTCAATGAGACATTCGGACTTCGAAGCAATACTTGGATTGTCAGTGAGAATGCTGCTGATTTTGGTTGCATCGCCCCAGTGCTGGTTGATCTGAAAAAGGCATCCACATCAGTGAATTATAATACTGAGATAAACTAGAAATGCAGAAACTGCCAAAACATATGCCCTCAGAAAATGAGGTCTTAAGCTGAACTTGAGTTCAAGGTGATCGGCCTCCTATGATTGGAGGTAAATTGCTTAATCAGTAATGATGATGATGATGAACACACTAATGATAGAAATAATAATGATAATAGCAAAATGAATGATAGTAATAATTTTCATCAAACGGAAAAACATAAATAAATTTTGTTTACAGATAAAATACTAATAGGTCAGTACATATATCATAAGAAAGATGTTTCAACAACCTTTTCTATAGGGGAGTCGCATACCTGAACTAGATACTGCAATCGGACCTCTGCTTCTTCATAGAGTTTGTAGAGAGAAACGGTGCCTTGTGGTGGCTTGATATAAAATGTCATTTCATTCCCTTGTAATTATTCTCAGAAAACCTGATAAACAGAGTATACAGTAAACATTTACAATAATCATGTAAAACACCTGTTGTACTACATACAAAATAATTGAGTAATAATATGGTAAAGATTGCTGAATCAATTTCTTCCAGTCTAAAAACAATAAAAATTGCATAGGCCTTATTGGTAAATCATTCAGTGATGATATCCAAAGGAATCAGACCATGTATGTTTCTAAAAATTATAGAGACATTTACACTGACTCATGTCATTGTTGTAACTTGTATGCATTAGTTTCTCGGGGGCTGGTTAACAAACCTCCCCAGGCACACTCTGTCAGGACTGAACACGGACAACTGCTTCCTTAATTAGCAAATCACCTGGGAAGACTACCTGACCAGTCTTGAGAGAGTAACCCATAGGGGTTGGCTGGCAAAGGCCGACCACTGGAACTGCACAGACCAATCTCAAATTCGAGATTCGAGGACATCTATGGCCATCTCACAGACCAATCTCTGGAAATTCGTGACAGTCCACAGCAAGTTTCAACTGGCTTTGGGTGGATCATGACATCATTACGTGGAAAATATGCACGAAAGGTGTCTTTACAACAATTACCAACTTTAAATATAATGATACAGTGTAAACAATACAAAACAACGGTATATCAACATCAAATAATTTACCTTAAAACTTCCCTCGTCTCGATTTGCCTCAAAGAT